GAAGTGGATCTATTTGTGTCGCAGGAAACGACACACTGTCCGCTCTGTTTCTCCCTTACGCATCCAGCTCCAATGGGGCTGGATGCCATGGTGCAGACGTGGCCGAGGCTTTGTCTGTACGTTTTTCCCCCGATTGCTCTGCTCCTGGGAGTTCTGGAGAGGGTACGCCGGGATGGGGTCCGTCTGTTGCTAGTTGCCCGTTCTGGCCGGCCCGAGTATGGTTCTCGGACTTGGTGTCCCTCCTCGACGGCTCTCCGCTGGAGATTCCGATCAGGAGGGACCTCCTCTCTCAGGCGAGGGGCGCCATTCTTCACCCCCGCCCGGAGTTATGGAAGCTGTGGGCATGGCCCCTGAGGGGGCACAGCTCCTAGCATCTGGTCTCTCAACTGAGGTTGTTGAGACTATACTCCAGTCCAGAGCTCCCACCACTAGGAAACAGTACGCCTTGAAGTGGAATATTTTCGCTTCATGGTGCGGACAGCGACTGCAGGATCCAGTCCACTGTCCAATTGGTACAGTTCAGGAGTTTCTGCAGGAGCGATTCTCCGCAGGGTTATCTCCCTCCACTCTGAAGGTATATGTGGCAGCCTTAGCTGCTTACGACGCCCTTCTGGGTGGTCAATCATTGGGAAGACACCCACTTATCACTTGCTGATGGCATGATGCTCTGTACAGCGCACTAAGGTGCCCTCATGGGACCTGGCTGTGGTTCTGGAGGGCTTATGCAATGCCCCCTTTGAACCCATAGAAGAAGTTTCGTTCAAGTTGCTCACGCTCAAGACCATCTTTCTCCTCGCTATTTCCTCACTAAAAAGGATCGGGGATCTTCAGGCACTTTCTCTTTCGTGCCTGGAATTTGCTCCAGGCATGGTTAGGGTATTCCTTTACCCGAGGGCCGGGTATGTCCCTAAGGTGCCCACTTCTTCACCAGGGCCCATAGTACTTCAGGCATTCTGTCCTCCTCTGTTCCAGGAAGTAGGCCAAGAAAGGCTTAATCTGCTCTGTCCAGTTCGAGCACTGGACGCTTACGCACACAGAGCTGCCCCGTGGCGTAAGGCAGATCAGCTGTTTGTTTGTTTTTGGTCTGCCAAAGAAAGGATCTCCGGCGACCAAGCAGACCATGAGTAGGTGGGTGGTCGAGGCCATCTCATACTTTCTCTCATACTTTCTCTTATACTTTCTGGTGCTTACGTCACCCCACCCGTGACGTCTCGCTACTCCATTGGGCTGATTTGACACGTGCTTCAGAACGTGGTCACGCAGAGGCGTTCCCAAAGCGATCTCGACTCAGCGTCTCGTTCCCGAGGGGAACCATGGTTAAATACGTAACCTAGAGACGTTAATTGAATTGCTCTTGCATAATAAAGCAACAAATCACCAAAGCCCAGAAGCTACACTGTTTTGTTTTGTTGATTTTTGACTTTTGTTAATAATGACATAATCATTATTTATAGACTGCATGTAAAATAAATTGTATGAAAATAACTAAGAAAATAAATTAATAAAGTAATACTGTTATTCAGCAAAGACAGTTTAAACTGATCAAATGTGAAATTTTTTTTTACAAATATTATATTTGAAATATATGTTGTTGTTGTTTTTTATGTTTTCCATCTATCAAAGAATCAAAAAGGTATCATGTTTTCCTCAAAAATATTGAGCAGCACAATTGTTTTCAACATTGAAAATAATTAGCAATATTTCTTTAGTAAATCAGAATATATTATAATGATTTCTGAAGGATCATGTGACACTGAAGACTAATGAAGGAGTAATGGCTAATGAAAACACAGCTTTACCATTCAAAACAAAATACATTTTACAATATATTAAAAAAGAAAACTCTTTTTTTTTGCAATTATATTTCACAGTATTACTGTTTTCATTTTTTGCATGAGAGACCTTTTTCAAAAACAATTAAACTTTTATATGGTAGTGTGTATAATAATAATTTACCTCAGTCACATTAAACAATTATTCATTGAGTAATATAACTGAGTAATACAATTAATTAGCTTAAATATGCTTTTTTTAGACTTAATTTCATGTGTAGTCACAGGTGTGCATATAAAAGTTACTGATTCAGTCAGATTATCAGTCAGCTGTGTTTTAAAAAGAGTCATTCTATTTGTTTGAAGGAAAGACAGTCATAAAATCATCTCGGAGCAGCTGCTGTGGCTCGAAATTGTGTTGAACTCTGTACAGCAATTACAAATTCATAGAATTTACAGCACTTTAGAAAATTGCTATTACAGAAAAGCAGACCTAGAGTAATGACCCCCTGTCGAACAATAGTCATTTCTTTCAGTAAACGTAAACACATCACATTCACAGCAGTACAGTCATTATCCATCCTCTGCACAACGTTTATTAGATCTGACAACAAAAAGTTAAGCAATGGAGGCACTTATAGGCTGGACGGCAAGGTAATCTCACCCATCTCGGGAAATGCTTTGTGTTCTCCAGGAGTCCTTCATTGTCACCAACAGATAGTGTGAGAATAAGAGAAGTGCAGTCAGTTATTTCTTAGTGTTACTTTAGGAGTTTCTCCTCTCGCTCAAAACAATTCACATGCAACACAGGCAGCTTTGGGTGTTCAGAGCGGAGTATTGCACAAGAACATGTATACCTTGTAAAAATAAACAAAACAAACAAATCGCAGCTTAGCTCTCAAACCGAATGTGTGGAGGTGAAGTGGAAAGGGAGGCAGAAATGACGTAGGTGTGTTTCCCTGTGGCAAGTCCACAGCATGGTGCGAGGAAGGAGAGCGAGAGATTGAAAGTCAGAAAATAAAAAGAAATGTGGTTGAGGAACATCTCTGTATTATTGATAACAGTGAGAGGATGAGTAGAGTTCGTCTACTTGTTTTTACTTTCTCACTCCCTCTTTCTTTCTCTCTGAAGGTTTGTGGTTTGTGATTGGTATGTGGAGGGTAGAAGTGCTTCGGAGAGCTGGGTGGCTGACAGTAGTCTCCGTCGAGCTCCAAATGCCAATTTGCGAGCTGTCTCATTCCATCTTGACGAAATGTCCTATTCTCTCGTCGATGCTGCTGGAGGGAGGGGTGGGGTGTGAAGTGGGCTTCTCCTGTGGGAGAGCTGTGGCTTCTATCATCCTTATCAAACCTGGCTTCTGCAGTCACACTGGATTTAGCTAACACTTGCTTAATACACTCCTCACTGAGCCTTAGGTGTGTGTGTGTGTGTGAGAGAGAGAGTGTGTGTGTGTTTAGGTCTCTGTGTGTGTTACTCTGGGATGTACAGCCAGCATGTGCCGAGGGATTAGCTCTTGTGAGGTGATGCATACATAGTTAGACATAAGGAAAATAATGTATGTGCAATTTCTAATGGCTGTGGATCTTCATAAAGACTTGAGTTATGATTACTACATAGATCAACGTTGCCTCTGTGATTAGTGAATGTTGCTTTGGATGGAAAGCAGCATCTGCCTGCTGAGTGCTAATTAATTTGAAATATTTAAGTTAGGGATATATGACATATACTATATTAACGTTTAAAAATTTGGGGTTGGTAAAAATGTTTTTGAAATAATTATTTTATTCTCACCAAGTCTGTATTTCTTTAATGTCGAAGACAGTTGATCTGCTTAATATCTTTGAGGAAACTATGATGCTTTTTTTCTTAGATGAATACAAATTTGAAAAGAACTGCATTTATTTGAAATATATATGTTTGTAACTATGTAAAAGTATTTACTGTTACTTTTGATTATTTTAATGTGTCTTGGCCATATCAAAGTAATAATTTCATTCATTCAAAAAAGTATTTTATCAACAATGTAAGGAATGGATATATATCTGTGAATACTCGATATTTATCTATTAATGCTATTTCCCCTATTTTTTACATTTCAGTTACCTTTGCTGTCATCTAATAATTTAACAAATTAATATTTGTTTTTACTGTACATCATAATGTTGTGATGCCTAAATTCACTTGTAGCATTAAAATTACTGATTTAAATTTTTATCATTTGATTATTATTTTTTTATTTATTTAGAGCAAAAATTATATAATCTTAATTTAACTTTAAAATATTTTATTTATAAAATATAAATTAATAATCAGCTGATTGATATTAGACACAATTGTAATATAGTGTTTTTTTTTTCTCTGTAAGATATGTGTATTTTTTAGGATGTTGTTAGATGGTTGGGTGTTCTGGAATATTGATTGAAAGTTGCTTACTGGCCAAAGTTTAAAAAGCCCACTGCCAAGTCTCTATGTTATTTTGGTCCCTCAATGGTTTTTAACATCAATAAAATCTGATAGCTTAGAAAATAATAGCACACCTTGTTTCAGTAATATGCATAGTTTATTATCATTCATGCCTGTGGCACAAATTGTGCAGAATAAAGTTTAATACCCCAGGTTAGCATAAGATTAGTATGTGAGCTAAAACTAATAATTGTGTGATTTTTTTAATTCACTGTACATAGTAGTTTTCTTTGAATTACTATGAAAGTCATCCACAAGATGCTTGATAATGTCATCAACACGCATATTGACCTTTGACCTCTCTCTCTGTCTCTGTCCAATCAAAGCTCCCGCATCGCAGAGTGACCTTCTCCACAGCCAATCAGGCGCAAGATCTGCAGGATCCCTCTCAGCACAGTTACTATGACAGCGGTCTGGAAGAGTCAGAGACGCCCAGCAGTAAGAGTTCTTCAGGACCCCGTATCGGGCCCCTCGCCCTACCTGAAGACCACTATGAACGCACCACCCCAGACGGCAGCATCGGAGAGATGGAACACCCTGAGAACGGTAAGAAGTGGTGGTGTGTCCCCCTCCCTTTTTATTATCACTCCATCTACTCTCTTTCAGAACAATCTCTTTAGACCTTTTACATATTGAAGAAATGGCTGGTAATGAGCTGCATTGAGCAGTTTACTTGTACACCCTTCATCACACACACACACTCGCTTTGCTTTAAAACCAAAAGTACTAAAATAAGGTCAATCTGAATTCTTGAGCATTGCAAAAGTTTTTTTTATGTGACCTAAATGTCAGAATTTAAGCAAATTAACTACCGATTTGAATATGTTTTCCATTAAACTTTGTGAGCTTTGTCAATATGCATCTACACATACAAAAACACCATTAATTCCTGGCAAGATATTGAAATGACCCAATCATATTAGCACACACACACCAAGAAGACCTGATATAATCCTCCTCCGCTGTAGCTGTAGGGAGCAGTTACTTCTCACAAGTGAGGGAGGCCGCCTCTCCTTTCCGCCTGGGTGGAAGTGCTCCCTAACAGGCCAAAAACCCTCAGCAACAGCCTCGGATAGGGTGGAAGTCATAGCCGAAAGGCAGGCTGGCAGTGAAAGCATTTAGAATTTAAATTACTGTGGAATTCATTAGTGCTGTGTATGTGTGTATACATACAATATAATATTCTGAGTTCAATTCAAGCTGAGCTCAGTAAACAGCACTTGTGGCATAATGTTATTTACCAGAAAAAAATCAGTTTCGACTTGTCTTTCCATGTTTTGTTACAGTACAAGGGTTAGTATGATTTTAGTTTTAAAAATAATTTTTCTTCAAAACCAGGATGCATTCAATTAATCAAAATTGACAGTAAAGACATTTACATTGTTAAAAAAGATTTCTATTTCAAATAAATGCTGTTCTTTTGAACTTTCAATTCATCAAAAATGTGTTATGGTTTACATAAAAAAATTAAACTGATAATATAAGAAATGTTTCCTGCGCACCAAATCAGCATATTAGAATGATTTCTGAAGGAGCATGTGACACTGAAGACTGGGATAATGGCTGCTGAAAATTCAGCTTTGCCATTGCAGGAATAAATTACCTTTTAAAATATATTAAAATACATATATTTAATTTGAATCAAATAAATGCAGCCTTAGCGAGCATATCAAAAATATTAAAATATCTTAACAACCGCAAACTTAATGCATATCCAATTTTACAGCTTCATTGCCATGACACACAAAACATAAAACCTTAAAATGATCTTAAAATGAAAATACCATCATTACATCACAACTAATAAACAGGTATTAACAGGAAAAATTTTAATTAAAATTATAAGTTTATTTTAAATCAAAATAGTGCCAAATATTTATTTTGTAAGTGCCTCACCAAAACCTAAATTTTCATTTTTTCTTTTATTTTCTTTTATTTTTTTAAGTATGCCACAGCGTGCCACAAATGCTTGTATTTAACCTGTAATAGATTGTTAAAGAGGCCAGAATGCATGGAAAGAGACACAAACCAATAGCCACAAGTATCAGCTGAAGGAAGGACTCTGAGAGAAAAAGAAAAGAAGTATGACTAAGGAAGTGAGGTGGACTAAGGCCTAAATGTCATGGCTGTCTTCCCACATCAGTGCTTTTACTGCAGCTCCAGGACTGTGTGTGCGTGTCTGCAGGGAGGGTCACCCAGACAGGTCACACTTATGGCATCTGTACACACACAGCTGCACGCCGAAGCCCGTGGCAGGTGCCACCAACCATGAGAGCGCACACATATGCAGAGAAGTACAGTATGGCGTTCTGTGCATGCAGAAATTAGGTCAGGTGCGATGGGGCGTTTGTCGGGATTTTCAACCTATTTGCCCGCCAGTACTTCCTTAGGATGTTTATATATATATATATATATATATATATATATATACAGGGCGTGTGTGTGTCTGTGTTA